ATCTGGTTGGGTATAGGTGCAGTTGTGATTCTTGATCATTGAGATAGAGTTATCTTTCCTATGACAGTTGTCTATCCGGTGGAAGAAAGCAGTGTTGAGATCCCCTGCTTTTAGCCATTTGATTCTTGATCTTTGGAACCAATATATCTCTTCTTTGTGGAGGGAAGAGAGATATTCCAGTTTGGTCTTTTTCTTGAGTTCAAGTTCTGTATCAGTCAGTGGTCTTTCCTCCTCTAGACGGTCAAAAGATTGAATTGTAGCCAGCTGAGATGTTTTGATTTGAGAGAAGTTATTAGGGATAGACTTGCTCCAAGACTTGAGCGAGACTTTGAGAAGTTGAAGTTTTGACTGCAGGATGAATCTTGCTCTTCCAGAGACGAGCGAGGAGTGAAGACCACCAGGTTGGAATGAGGGAATGAAGCGACTCCTCTTGCAGCCGGAGGAGTTCAAATCTGAAAGGTCTTGGGCCCCTCTTAACAGCCATGGTGTCAAGAAGGATCGGACAGTGATCCGAGGTAGGTTTGGGTTGAGCCTGGGCTAAGGATCTCGGAAAACGTTCTTCCCAATGTGGAGAAAAAAATAAACCTATCGAGTTTAGAGAGGTTATGATTAGAAACGTGGTTGGACCACGTAAACTTACTGCCTTGGAGGGGAATGTCCAAGAGCTCATTCCGACTAATAAAATCAGAGAAATCCCTCATACCCTGGGATCTAGAAGAGGAGGAGTTTCTCTCATGGGCCCATCTGGTGTCGTTGAAGTTACCGCCTAAGCACCAGATAGGATGCGGCAGAGAAGCTACCAGGTCCAATTCTTTTCAGAACGTATCTCTGAAAGAAGAGGAATTAGGACCATATATAGTAGAGAATTTTCATGGTATTCCATCGGACGTGCTAGTTAAGAGGACGGTGACAGAGAATTCCCCGATATAAGAGGAGCTGAGGGTGTGGTCAGAAGGGTTCCAAACTACCCAAATGCCTCCTGACTCCCCATTTGCCGCTAAGGAAACCCACTGGCTTGGTCTCCTACCCCAAACCTGGCGAATAAGTTGAAGATCAAGATGTGGTTGTTTGGTTTCAGCAAGAGCAAGAATGGAAGGTGAGTGTTTAGAAGTGAGATCCTTGACCGCATCCTTCTTGGAACGACTTCCAAGGCCTCTTACATTCCAAACTAACAACTTCATCTATTGACATTGGATGGAGGAGAGGGGGCCAATCTAGGGAACCTCCTCACGGTAGTAGGGTTGGAGTTTAGTAAAAGACTAACAGCGGGCTGACCCTCAAAAGGAATAGAAGAAAAGAGATTACAGAGTTCTCTCTGTCCTCTAAAATTCACTTGCATCCTGCTTTGAGCGTTCGCTGTAAGGAATCTATGGGTTGGTCCTTCGGGTCCATCATAGGCAAAACCCATGACTCTGTACATCTCGAGCATTCTGGCGTCAACCCTATTTGTTCCATCCCCGTCGACCTCCTCTGTTTCTTCGGAAAGCAGAGGGGGAGAAATGGGAGTTGCAGTGTCTACACGGTTCGTCTCATCCTCGTCGACGCCCTCTGTCACCTGAAGAGCCGGAGGGGGAGAGATGAGAGGTGCTAGAGCTCCACTATTTGTCCCATCCCCGTCGACCGCTTCTGTTGCCACTAGATCCAGATGGGGAGAGATGGGAGTTGCGGGCTTAAAGGGGCCCTCAAAAGGCAAAGGGGGAGAGATGAGGGTTGCAATAGCTTCACTGTCAGTCCCATCCCCGTCGACCACCTCTGCTGCCTCGAGGTCCTGAGGGGGGGAGATTGGGATATCAAGAATTGGGGGGCGTTTCGTCATCCAAATATAGAGGGGGGAGGGGAGAACGTAGGATGGAGGTCTAGGGTGAGAGAGGGAGGGGCCACGTGCGAGGGTGCTGAAGGCCTCAAAGTAGGGTAAAAGAAAGAGGGGGTAGTCGATTGAGGGGAGAGACATAAGGGACCAAAGAAGTCCCGGGAGCGGGGAGATTGAAGGCAGATGTCTCGTAAAATCCAGAGGGTAAATAGGCGAAATAATGATAGGTCTGGATGGAGGAGTGGGAATACCGCAGGACAGGAGAAAAAGGGGGCCCGGCCACTTGAAAGTTGTGCACGCTGTCGATCTGAACCAGGTGGGGGTAAGAAGGTGGGCTAAGGATGAAGGTTGGGAGGTGGTTGGTCCATGGAGTGGACAACGACAAAGCCAAGAGGAGAGGAAGGACAGTCCGAGGCAAGGGGGGGGGGTGGTTGGGCTGTGAGAGGAGGCAGAACCCAGGGAAAAAGGAAAAAAGTGCACAGAGAGAGGATCTGCAGAGGAAGAGGAGGCGCCGACTGCAAAGGGGGGTGAAAGCAGCGGAAGGTCGAGAGGGAAGACCCCGCCTCAGGTGGCTGGAAGACTTGTCCATTAGAGGGGGAAGGCGGCCGGGCAGGAACAGTCGAGGCTGATTGCGACTGATGGGGATTAGGTAGGGACAACTGGGAGGACGGCAGAGGCAGCGACGGCGACGGGGAGATAGGTGGCCTTGACTTGATACCGAGGGTGGGATCGCTCGACAGGTGGACGGCAGGAGAGGGCGACAGATACGTTGCATTTAAGGGAGGCGTAGGCTCGAGGGGACGCTGTACTGGGGGACGAAGACACGTGTTGAAGGGTGGGATGCGCTCCTTGCCCGAGGGGAGAACTGGCAGGACCCGTGGCGGGAAAGGAAGAGCTGGGCGCAGGTTGAGGGAAGGACGATGATGATGGGCCGGAACCGACAATGCAGCCCGAGAAAGAAGGGGAGGGTGATACGTCAACGTAGACCTCCTTACCGGGCCGATGTAGGGAAGGGGTTGATCAGCTAAAATCGGGTCAGCAGGTCGGCTAGTAGAACAAGGCTTAGAAGGAGAAAGAGGAGTGGCCCAAGGGTACCACCTCAAACTAGTGCCTGGATGACCATGGGATGGGCCGGGTCGGGCGGACATCGGCGACGCCTCTTGCGATGTCGATTTTTCCTAATTACCTCAGTCCCATGTTGGGATGGGTTTTCCGGTGAAGGATCACGGGCCAGGACGGACAAGAAATGAGCAGAGGGTGGGGAGAGGCCTGCTCCCACGATGTATTGACAGGATAGAACAAGCCCTCGACCTCTAACCAGATGGTTTGAGGGATCTGGCTAGTGTCAAGGATTTCCAACCGCTTTCGAATTGAACCCAGAGGAAGAGTCTCAAGTGAGATCCAATGAATGGAAATCATAGAGCCACAGGCAGCAGCGATTTTCCTGAAAGTCTCAGGAGACCAAGCATGGAGGGGGACGTTCGCCAGACTCTTTGTTTCTTGAATGACCCCTCCTTCGACGACCACAATCGGAGAGAGCATGCCGCCCCTTTGAAAGATAGGTTGGCTCCTGCTTGTAAGGCGAACTGGGCTGCCTTTGGAGAAGGAAAGTGAAAAGGATTTCTCCTCTCAGCAGACATCTGCAGGTCACGTTGTCCTTCTTGAAGGTACTTTTAGCCCATTTTTCGATTTCGCGTATGTCATCCCTAGCAGGATGGAACTTCCCAACCAGCGACGCCTAAAGCTTCCTCCTGTTCGCCGTGACTTCCTCCGGGATGGATTGAACGACGAACGAGAGAAAGAGGGAAGAAACGAAGGGATGAACCCCAGCTGGAGTCGACTGGGTTACAGAGGAAGAAGAAGGGGATGGATTGTAAGAGAAGAAGGAGAAGGATAGATGGGAGGGAAAGCCCAGAGCGAGAGGGCTTAACGGGAGGACGGGTAAAGGATATAGGTTGTAGATGTCATTCCCGCTCAGGGGCTGGGGTTGAGACATGTCAAGTTAACTTAAAAAATATTCTAGATTTTAGTAGCTCCATGTTTTGAAAATGAAAACATGTTTTGTGGTTTCATAGAGGTAAACTCGTTGATCCACAATCTTAAAGACCAGTTTTGTGGTTTGCTGGAAAACCCCAGTTTTGGCCAGAAGATCTTGTTGAAAGTCAGAAAACTGAGATTGAGGATAAGTATTCTGCTAGATTTTTCTAGAACCACCCTTATTTGCCTGAAATTCCTCTAAATCGCCAAATTAACCATAAACCGTAAATAAATGATCCTTAGGGAAGTGGAGAAGAACCCAAAAGAAAAATTGAAGAGTTCTGCATTTTGGAAAGTACAAAGTCCATATCATCTGGACCCTTGAAAGGTGGCATAAGCACACTTCCAACGGTCCAGATTGAGTCTGGGCCAATATGACCACAAATTATTTTTTTTATTTTTTATTTTATTGTAAATTCATTTCACATGAAAATTTGTGCATACGTGCATATTTATGGAATAAAAAAGACCAAACTACCCCTGAAACATTGAGGGTTTTTTTGTTTATTTTTTTATTTGAATTTTTTTTTTATTGCATGCGCCCTCTACGATGTATTAATGCCCCAATTTTCATGTAAAAAGAATTTGTAAAACAAAATTAGAAAATAAAAAATTTGTGGCCCTTGGATAGACCTAGATTTTGTCTTGACCGTTGAAGGGTGCACAAGCACTGCTCAAGGGTGATGTTTGTGAGTGAAAAAAAACAAATTGGGGAGAAGGAATTCCGGTTATAAAGTTGGTTCAGATATGGGTGGAAAGTTTTTAACCAAGGGGGAGGGGCATTGGTTCAATTTCCCAGAAATTTAAATTGTTTTTCTTGTTGTCCTTGACCTTCAGCCATGCTAGATGAAATGCATCTTGGAGTGTATGCTGTTGCTGTCATTCCCTGCTGGCTCTGTAATTCACTAACTGTCATTGAATGGTGCAACCATAATTGGAGATACTGCATTTTTATATACCATGCATCTTACTACCAACACATGCATACCTTTATGTATACATTCATGTGCATGGTCTGATAAATGCATGATTAATTGAAGAATGCTCCCTTTCTTCAGCAATGGTCCTACGAGTGAATGTCAATTTTCCAATGCCCCTCTAGAGAATTGCAGATCATTTACCCATCTCTCTTGCTTATGGCCTTGCTTTTCAGGTTTCCGACAACCTAGAAAACCCCAGCTACGGAAGCCACCTCCTTTGAGAGAGAATGAAGCCACTCGGCGGCCTATCAATCCGGGAGAGGCTCCTGTATCAGTAATTGTAGGGAAAACAGATACCGTAGAATCAGCCCACAAAAGGAAGATGAGTGCTGCTCAAACTTTGGGAAAATCAAGACCAACAGCACAAGCACCTACCACTTATGTAAATAATAATCCTCGGGGAAAGGCTCCTGTACCAGCAATTGTAAATAACAGAGGAGGAAAAACATATACTGTAGAATCAGCCCACAAAAGGAAGATGAGTGCTGCTCAAACTTTGCGAAAATCAAGACCAACAGCACAATCACCTACCACTTATGTAAATAATCATCCTCTGAGAACCAGATGCTTATCTGGTTTTCCAAGCTATGATAATTACAGGGTGCATGGGAAGTTTGCGCTTTATGCACCAATCAGCAATAATCATTATGAAGGTTCGACTTCAAATTGGACCCCAAAGGGACAGCCTGATTTTCTTCAAAGGTTTCGAAGCTACAATGATCCAAGAAGCTACAATGCAGGCTGTTACCTAAACGCTGGCAAAAGGCCAAAAAACAGAAGAATGCGTGATCCAGTTATGGGTGTCTTTTCTTGCTCAACCCCCGGGTGTCGAGGTGTGGCGGTGGAAACCTGTGTTATCTTTGGATGTGCTGAATGCTGCGGGAGTGTGGGAAGAAAATGCGGGGTGCACCAGGGGCCTTAGAGATTACTTCCTCCAAGTGTTCTCACTCCTTTAGTTTGCATTGTATACATTGTCTTTCCTTTTGTTGTGTTAGCTCTTTGTAGATTGCCTATGGGACCTCCCATGTCAACATGTTGTGATTTTTAGATTTGGGAAACGACCATTGCTTTGGTTCTGTGCTGTTGATATGGGAATCTGATTTGAATAATTTGGATATTAAGAATCTGAGTTGGATAATCTGGATGTCTGGAATTGATCTCAACTGTAAACTGCACACTACGCTGTGAATGTGGACTCCGATGATTTGATAATTTCTAGGATGGATCTCTTTTTGCTTAAAGAAAAACAGAAAGGAATTGTGACTCCTACGTGCTATGGATTTTTTTTTTTGAGATTTAATTAGTACACCGTATTGACTATGTCCTCTACAGAGAAACCCCTCCATTATCGATCATTGCGGTTTGAGGCTTGTGATCTCCATATCAGCAGAGAGTTCTTGATTCATCATGGATTTCGGTAGGCATCTGTTCTTTTTTGCATTTTCTATTCTTGCTAAGGGCCTGGTATTTTTTTTTTTTTAATGGAAATATGTTAAGAGGAAGAATTACTAGAAGCGATGTTGGGACATTTAGGATGTTGATTATGATATTAGGGTTTTGGGGATCTTATGGTTCATTATTATTTCCATACCACTGTTTTAGTTATGGATGACTTAACTAAACACATTCAAGATGAGGTATTGTGGTGTATGTTGTTTGACATAGTTTTGATTGATGAGACCCGAAGCGACATCAACATTAAGTCAGAACTTCGGGGGCATACTCTAGAATCTAATGATTTTAAAAGCAACCGGGCTAAGGCAGAGTATATGGAATGCAATTTTAGTAATAATAGGAGTAAAGATGAGGAAATAGTTAAGATTGATGGCCAAGACATACAAAAAAGAGAGCACTTTTGAAATTTTGGATTGATCATTCATAAAAATATAGAGATTGAGGAAGATGTGTATAGAATTAGAGTTGGGTGAGCAAAGTGGAGATGTGCAATTGGAGTTTTATGTACTTGCCATGTACCTATGAAGCTGAAGGGGAATTTTTAGAAGACAATTGTGAGACCAACTTTGCTTTATTGGCAGAATGTTGGGTAGTAAAGAAACAATTGTTTACATTCCGATCCTTACCGATCTTTGGGATGAGATCTGCTCAAATCTTAGTAAAACTTCGTTAAATTTGTGGAAAACAGAGAAAGTAAGGTCGTCGAATTATGAGCCTAAGAATGACACATCTATTCAGATTTGATCTTTTATTGGGTCTACGGGCAGCACCAGCTCCAAGTTCTGTGTGTTTTGCATTAAAACATATTTTAAAACATTATAAACTAAGAAATAACGACAAAATACAGAAAACAAAACTAAATTAAAGATTAAAATTAGCTAAAATTAAATAAGGAAGGGTATTTACCGCTGGGAACTCAAAAATTGGAGTTTTGGGTTTCGATTAGGTTGTTTTTCTGATTTGCGTCACTGTCTCCTTTTGGATGCCTATGCTTGCTAAAATCAGTAGATCTAATGTACTTTTACCTAGATTTAGGGCTCCAAAGGTAGGGGGAAAAAAAGAAATTATTTAAGTAGTGTTTATCTTGGCTTTTTTGAATGTTTAAGATAGATTTTCCTTAGTTTTTTAAGGTTTTGGGGACTCTTAAGATTAAATCCGAATTTTTGGATTTATTGGGAGTTTTGCTAATTTTTTAGGAATTTTCTAGAGATCTTTCTTATTTTTGGGTATTTTTGGACTATTTTTGGGCTGCTTTCCTAATTTCAGGAATTTCTAAGGGATTTTTTTTATCACTTCTCCTCTCCTTTTTTGGGTTATGGAGAAGGGCATTTATAGAATTCAATTGGCAGTTTTTCTTGATTTGTTTGAATTTTTTGTCAGATTTTTTTTTTTGTTTCAAATTTATCTTGAATTTTTGGCTTTATCTAATTTAAAAACGCGTTTTATTTCATCATTAGGCCAGATTGGGCCTGTCACGGGCTTTGGCAACCCGTGCGATATGCAGCATGTTGGGCGGGTTACCCTAAGCCCATTAAGTAGGGTCTAAAATGTCATTTTTGTATATTTTTAACCGTAGGTCCGATTGGGTGATTCTTGAACCATTGGAAAGCCCTTGAGGTTTACTTTGATTTTGGGATAGATTTGGGTAGTTTTGGGACAAATATATTGAGTCTAGGTTGCCTATGGTCTACTAGGGCTTTTGTGGCCCTTTGGGCTCATAATCGATGTTTTTGGAGTTCCCTTTGCTAGAATTTCAAAAGGGGTATCTACAGTCACCCCTCTTTGACATTCACCTGGGGCACCAAGTGAATGGCAAAGACGTAGACACCTAAGACACAATGGGGAGGAAAATTTTTCCTAGGGATCATTCTTTTGAGTGACCAATACCCTGTGGATAGGCGATATGCCGATAGATGCTTTTGATATGTAAGACATCAAACTGACACTACTATTTTAGAATCAATGCAGTTGAGAGGTCTTCGACAAGTGGGATCCAAAGTGACAGTCAACAAGAACCGTGCTATCTTTGAGCCGGTGACACTCCTTGTCGTAGTCACCCCAATGCTACCGGGGTGCTGCTAACGTAGTCATCTTTAGACTTTTTTTTTGGGGTCTGGTTCTCTAATTGAATGAGAGTTTGGTTAGAAAAAATGATTGAATGATTAATTCCTGATTAATTGAATTTTGGTTCGCCTTCGATTTTAATTCTTGGGGTCCACAAGTTCAGGCCTTTTGGTTTGGGAACCTATTGGTTGGTCTCTATTTTCCTAAGGGTTTGTAAGCATGACAATCCAGGATTTGGTGGTAGTAGACACATCATATCCAATCCTTCATGAAACTCTGTTTTTTAAAAAACATTTTAGAAATTTCGAAGATAGATAGAATTTTGAAATAGAATAGAGTTCTGAGCTACTTTTTTAACCAAATAAATTAAGGTTTTTGAAAAACTCATGAAACACCGGAAAATTTTTGAAGATGGATATGAAACTTTAAACACAAGAAAATTTTTGAAGATGGATACAAAATTTTTAAAAACAAGTTTGGTAAGAAGTTTGGGCTCTTGCTACCATGGAGCCCTCTGAGTGGTCTTAGATCATGCAGTGATGGACGTTTTTGTACCTGCTCCAACTCTTTTATGTCGGATGGATTTGACATTGCTTGAGATTGGGTACCCGGTCTTTTTATCGTCATACGGTTTAGACATCTTCCTAACTTGGCTCTTTTCCATCGCACAAGTTTGATGCTTTGACTGTCTCGACTCTTTTACGTCGTACGAGTTTGACATTTTGACTGCCTCTACTCTTTTACGTCCCACGGGTTTGACTTTTTGAATGTCATGGCTCTTTTATGTTGCACGAGTTTAACATTTTGTTTTTGTTTTTTAGATTTCATGACTGTTTCACGTCGTACAGGTTGGATGTCTGTTGACTGAGTTGTGATTGGGTTCTCGATTGTTTTATGTCTCACAAGATAGACGTTTTCAACTGGATTTGGTGAGCCATTTCAACTCATGTCACTTTGGAGTTTTATGACTTCAAAGGTGATTAAAAAGATGTATGAGAACCTTTGATGTATCGGTCGCAGTGGAGGACTTGCTCTGATTGCTCCAGACATATTTCACTCTCTTTTGAATGTCAGATCTTTGACTTCTTCTTTTTCATGATTTTTTTCTCATTTCTGGGTCCATGGACAAATTTGCCTCTGCTCTTGTTTTTCTGAGTCTTTTATTTTCTTTTCTTTTTTATTTCTTTTTTCTCTATTTTTTTCTTCTCTTCTTCTTTTTCTTTTTTCCTTAGATCTCTCTCTGGAGCCTATGGTTGTCCCTCGTCCTTATCTGGGCGAGTTCATTGAGCGGTTCCCACACGTCCACATATGGTTTTTGGATTTATGACAGACCAACTCCATTTACTCCGGTCCTTCTTCTTCCTACTCTTAGACACTCTTTCCAAGTGAGGTTAGTTAAATTTCTTTTGATTTTCCTTTTCTTTTTTTCTTTGAGAAATTCTCCTGATCCCTTTACCACATGTTTCTGTTCTTTCAAATACTTGGATTGTGCATATAGAGGATAGGGCTAATGTCTACGAGGACTCAACACATGTTTTCCTTACGCACGCTTATTTGATTTGTATGGATGTGGTAGAGGCTTACAACCCCTATCGCGTATTGTGACAATTTCGACCTGTTATTGGTCCTTACCTTTTCACTCCCAGATGGGTGCCTCTTGTGATCAAAGTTTATTCTGAGGTGGTGTATTTGTCAGAAGCAGAATGGGAGGACATGCATGCTCTCATATATGAGCTGAGTGAGGAGGACTCCCTGGTGCCTCTTGTGATGTATGGAGAGAGATACCGGGCTTCTATGAAGGAGATCATGTACATGTCTACGCATGCTCTGGAAATCATGGAGACGCTGGGAATGGGTGGCGCAGGCGAGCCAATCAGCCATGAGGCAGTGCATCTGAGAGGTCGATTGCAGGAGATGACACGCTCTAAGGACCAAGCTATGAGGCAGTGTGCATAGGTGCGGGCTCAGCTTGAGGCCATGGCAACTACACTTCATAGAGTAGAGGTGGAGAGAGAGAGGAGCGTTTCTTACTGAACTATGAGAAAGATTGGGCTCAGCTTGAGCTAGAGCTACTGTGGATTACCCAGAGCCAGACCTATTCTTCAGGCGTGGGACCTTCCCATGCTGCAAGGCAAGAGATGGACCCATTGCATGTGAGTCTCATGCGGGTGAGAGGCGAGCGGGTATGTACTCTTCTGTTTTGCTTGATTTCTTTACTTTCTAATCGTCACATTCTTTCCAGTGAATTTGGATTTTGTCTCTTTTCTTCTTTACCAGGATGCATATAAGCGGCAGCTAGAGAAGTTTCAATTGGAGTAGATCGTGATGACTCGCTAGCTTGCATTGATGACTTTGGCATTGGAGCAGGCTGGTGATGACCCGGCACGGGTAACTCGAGGCCAGAGGAAAGTTCAGAGGCCACCGGTTCCTACTTCTCCTATGGCTTCGAGAGGCAGCAATGAGCGTAGAGTATGCTCTAGAGCGAGCGAGTAGGAGGCCTCGAGTGACTTTCAGTCCATTCGAGAGATGGGGATTGAGTCTCTTCTTTATATCTTTCATACATACTTTTTTTTTTTTGTTTATGATGCACAAAAAACCTTTAGAAATATAAAATTTTCTTGGTTTCTACCACTAAGCATTCCTGGGATCAAGATCTCTTTTCTTCATTTTTTTTTCTTTTTTTTGAGAATTTTATTTTAGGGCCCTAAGCACACTTGGGGCCGGATCCCCGGATCCCTTATATA